AATATGAGTCCTGAAACAAGTTTAAGAATTCTGCTACAGGGGTTGTCCAGAGCCTGAAGGTGACATGTTCTCCCAGAAGCCAGAGCTTACGTGGGACTCAGGAGCACACGATGCCCCTCCTGTAGGATCGAGGAACCACATGGAGCAGAACCTGAGTCTGGGGCCACGTGGGCCAGACCATGCCGAGCAGAAACCCGAAGTCACTCAAAGCTGCGGTTGGGGGGTGGGGGGGAGTGCCTGGGAGGACAAGAGTTGTGACATTTGCTGACACAACAGAGAAGGCGGTCACTTCCAGTCACCCCTGACATTGCCACCAAGCCCGCCATCAGTGGACAAACCGTTGACAGACCAGCTGGGAGAGCTGCTTCTGTTGGAATGATCCAGGTTCTCTCGGGTCCCAATAGTGCTCGAGCCGCCCCTGCCCATGGGTCTGGCCTCAAGCCCTACCCGCCATTCTCTGTAAAGCAGAGAAACAAGCTTCCTGGAGAGTCAGAAGTCCCCCTCCTTCTAACAGGAAAGCCCTTCTGAATCCTGTCTCACCGTCTCCAGGGTCTGCCCGCTCCCCCTGCCACTGTCAGGAACCAGCCCACTGGGCGGTGGGCGATCAGGGAAGGTGGCAGCTCTGCTGGGCAAGGGGGCTCAGAGGGCCCAGCAGGAAGGTGGGCAAGGGGTAGGCTGGGGGCACCCATGGGTGGGTGCAGGAGTGGAGAGGCGACGGCAGGCCAGGCGGGAAGCACCTGCACGGAGACCTTTCTGGGCCCTTAGCTGGCGGCTCCCCTGTTCTGGGCCCAGGGCTCACTCTGGAGATGGCCTGAGGGCCTCGGTGACTAGCAGAGGGCCAGCCACCAGCACCCCAACCCCAGCAAGGGCACCTGACAACCACAAATGGAAGGTGGGCTGTCCTTCCTCCTTTTCTGAAAAAAAAAAAACAAAACCACACAGCCACAACAGGCTTCCCTTGGGCAGCCAAATAGGTACAAAGTAGGGATCACACCCTTTGCTCGAGTTCAGTCCCCCTAAAGCTCGGGTGTGTCGGGAAATGTGTGGGAGCCCCTCCCAGCAAGGGGCAGGGGGGCCCTACCACAGGGTGAGGCTGGGAAAGGAGCTTTTGCAGGGACAGGACCCTGTGTTTCTAGAATCACCCGAGAGCCCAGAGACGGGCGCTTCACGCAGAGGGCCTCCAGCAGGGACACGGTCAGGGTCAGGGTCAGGGTTAGGAACGCTTTCCCTGGTTAGCGGGCATTGGGGACCAGGTGGAAAATACATAGCAACGGAGGCAGAACTTCTCCCAGGCTCGAGACCCTGGGGAAAGCCAATTTCCATGATGATGAAATTTTGGGCTAGCCGTGAATCCTAACAGAAGGAGAAGCAAAACCAATGCAGGAAGCCCTCCTCCAAGAGCGGGACAGTGAAACGTCGGACAGTTTACAAAGCGAAGGAGACTCCTGGGGGACAGAGCCAGCTGCCCCCTGCCCTCCCGGGGAGCCTGGAACCTCCTCTCATTCCCTCTGCTGGGGCAGCCCCACCGGTGGGTGCATCTCTGGTTGTTGGCGATTTCTCTTCTTTCACAGCCCAAGGTTCCTGAGATGCCACCGCCTAGTTTGAGAGTCTGATCCGCAGCATTTCGGTGGGATTCCTCCTCAAGTTCAGAAGCCTGTGCGTGGGGAGACTCACCGAGGACACTGGCAGAGCAGTGAGGTTCCCGGAGTCTGGGTTTGGGGGTTCAGATGGGGAAGTGGGGGAGTCTCCTCCATCTCCTCCTCCCCGAGAGGCACCATAGAGGGGATCTCAGCCCGGCAGCCAGGGCCCTGGAAGGAAGCAGAGGGAGGCCCTCGTGAGCACAGGGCAGAGGGGAGGTTGTGGCATGTCCCCAGGAAGAGGGCTGGACCCCCGCCTGGTGCCACACGTGTGCAGGGACGTTTGCTGGATGAACCCAGACTAGCAAGGTCTTTCCTCTCAGCCTTTGCTCTAGACCTTCCTGTAGTGCAAAAGAAGCTGTGAATCTTTTCGAAATTTATTGGGCCTTACATCTAATCCTCAAGTAAAGAAGGAAGAGAAAAGGCACCATTAACACTGTGGGTGTGGGGCAAGGGCGACAGAGCAAAGCTGCCCCAGAATCAGTGAAAGAACAAGAAAAAAAGTCAGGGGCGGCTTTGTGGCTCCATCGTGTTATTATTTACATGGATTTACATGCTGATACTTTACACCAGGACTTACAGCTCAATTATTCCCCAAAGGGTCTGAGACAGGAGGTCAGGACTAATTGAACAAGTCCAGAAGTGCCTACAGCTGTTGGGTCCCAGAGAGAAAAAGGAACAAAGCTGAAGCCTGCGCAAGCCCCATCCCCAGGGCTGCTCCAGGAACCCAGGCGCCCGCTGCTGCAACACCCGGCCGTTGTTGCTGAGGTGGGTCCCCCCGGGCCCTGCTTCGAGGGAGGACCGTTTCATCACCCTCCTAATAACCTATTTTTAAACCCTGCTGGGCTTCGCCCCAGCTTCCTCAAAAGCAGGCTGTCTAGCCTTCTCCCGACATGCTTCACTTCCATGCTTTGGCCTGACATTTCTCTCATTACTGGCCTTTGAAATTAATTTACATAAGTGGCCTTATTCACAGATAGCATCTCCTTTCATTTTCAGACCTGACCTTCTCGTTTCTAGGGAGAGCCTCTGGAACCAATACCTGTGAACACGCTTGGACCCGAGGAGACTGCCTCCCCCAGATTTGTTCCCCAAACGGGCTCCTTAAGATGTCCCAAGCCTGGTCCCTACTGTCGCCTCCTTCCAGCCCCAGGAAGGTCGGGCAGAGAGAGGAGTTGTGAGTCTCTCTTCTACTGTTTTTGTCTTTGAAAACAGGCTGATCTTTGGTAAAATGCTGCCATCCAAGGTGGAGATGGTCCTGGTTACAGACATCACCCCAGGTCCCTTGAGGACGTCAGCGTGTGGGCAATCAGGGCGGGCAGCAGGGTGAACACCCCTGACTCAATCCCAGATACGATTCCAGCTTGAACACCTTCACTTCAAATTGTATACAATTTCACATCATTAACTAGGAACCAGGGCTTCCCTTATAGCCCAGTCGGTAAAGACTCTGCCTGCAATGCAGGAAACCCAGGTTCGATCCCTGGGTTGGGAAGATCCCCCTGGAGAATAAAATGGCAACCCATTCAGGTATTCTTGCCTGGAGAATCCCCATGGACAGAGAAGCCTGGCAGGTTACAGTCCATGGGGTCGCAGGAGTTGGAAACAACTTAGTGACTCAACCACCACCAACTAGGAACCCACTCCACCCACTCTGAATTCAGATCCATTGGGAGAGGGAAGCAAGGGGGAAAAAAAAGCAAGTAAATGCTAGAGATAAAGTGATGTTCAAAGATGTGATATCGGGTGTGAGCATTGCTGGATCAGAAGGGAAATATTTACTCCCCCACCCCAGCCAGGAGGCCCGTGGGGCCAGCCCTCGCAGTACCGCACTGCAGCATGGCAGGTGGGCAGGGCAATGCCAACTTGGACCAGCATGAAGCTCTCACTGCAAAGTGGCCTTTGGGCATCTCAGGGCAGTGACCCCCACCACTGGTGGCCCCAGGCACCACATGTCCCCTGTATCCCTCCAGTCCCCACCTTTCCCCTGGCATATCCCTGGCCTGTGCTGGCTCCCACCATGCCCACTGCACCCCATGCCATGGTGAGGTGGCCACCGCGGACGGAGCAGGCTGGCCACAAAGAGGGTGGTCCCTTTCCTGGCCGCTGACAGCCGCTGCCTCCACCCAGCCTTTCCTCATGCTAGAAGCCAGTGTTCAAAGGACCCTGGAGCCCCACTTGGCCACCTTAGGAGATACGGGGTCCCAGCAAAAAAAAAAAAAGGCTTTTGCATGAATCCCCACGACTAGGGAGGAGTGTACACTGTTCTGCCTGGCCAACATGGGCTTTGTGGCTTGTGTCACCTTGGGGGCTGGCACCAGTGAGCCCAGGTTGGAATAATTCCGTGGCTGGGGGGGCCAAGAAAAAGCAGCTGGGTTGGAGGGTCAACTCCCTGTTCAGTGGGCCTGCCAGAGGGAGGAGGGTGGAGCTTGCAATAAACCCCCAAATCCAGACCCCACCTCCCTGTTCATATCAACTTAGGAGGGAGGGTGTCTGTGCCCCTGCTCCACTGGGTGATGTGGGTGATAAACGACAGTTTGCTCCCTGACCTGCCCATCCATATCCTCATCACCCTCTGGTTCCTGGTCACCCTCAGCATCCAGTCTCCCTTCCACCCGTGACTCCACGAGGAGGTATAGCCTGGGCCACCCCGAGAGGCTCTGCTGCGAGGTGCTTGCTGTCTATCAGGCTGCTGGGCAGGGCCCGAACCCCAGACCCAGGCTGAAAGAGGAGGCCCACGGAGGTCACACCTGTCACGGCCAGCCTGCCCTCTGGGTCCTAAACAGTAGCAATGCCGGGGTTCCCTGCCCTCTGCACCCCACAGCTTTTGTCTGCTGTTCCTCTCCCAGCTGTTCCATTCAGCAGCCCCAGGACGACCTGCCCTCCGCAGCCCAGGCCCCCAAGGCCCCATTAAGGCCAGCGGTCAAAGGCCGGCCCGCACGGGCTGCATCTTATCGGCCCATCTCAAGACCCCCGCTCCTCCAGGCTCCGCAACAAAAAAAAAGGGGGCGGCCCCGGGCCCACTGGCTCCCCGAGGCCCCCCGCACACAAAAGGGCAGGCGACAAAGACATTTTCTGGGATGGCAGGTGTTGGTGTCGGATTCCGCCCAGAGCACGGGGGGCCGGAGAAAGGCTGGGGTGGGTTTCGGGCAGGCGGGCAGCGCAGACACGCAGTACAGAGCCCCTTAGGGGTGAGGGGGAGGTGGCAGGAACCCCTAGCCCTGGAGGGAGGCGGGTCAGTGAGTGAACTCTCCCCCACTCCCCCAAGAGCAGGGCGCTGGGCAACTCCACTGACATGTCAGTTCAAACACTTGTTCTTTGAACTTACCTTGTTCAAACACTGCAGCGAGGCCTTCACGTATTTTAATCTGAAGGGAAAGAACATAAAATGGAGTGAATACAGGCCCTGTACACACACAGCCCAACTCGATAATGAACACAGTGCTAAAAATAACATCTGTTCCTGGGTGGCCTGAGTGTTCCTGCAGCTTCCGAGATCATTACCCACTGAAAATTCACCTGAAATTCCACTTGGCAGGACAAAATTCTGGCTGCCGTCACCTGTACAGGTGTGAAACAAAGGCGACGTTAGCTTTCCCAGGACGTGTGACAGTTGCTGCGGGAGCTCTGGGGACACTGGGGCGCTCTGACCCAGCACGTGTGGGACGGCCTTTGACCGCTGGCCTTGATGGTGCCTTGGGGGTCTCGGTGCCCCGTTCCAGATGCACGAGGGTTCCTAATGTTTTGTCTTAGGTATAGTCAAAGCTAAGAGTTTTCAAGACAAGCATTTGGAATTCTCTGGAGGCCCTGAAAAAATAACTGATACCCACTAACTGTATAAGTTCACACATCTCTAAGTTTCATTTTACAGGTTTTTGAGGGGCACGCAGTGTGTTAATGCGGATCAGGCGTCACCTTCGATGTCACATTCCCCAGGGAAGAAGAGTGAGGTGTACTTTGCCCAGGGAAGCTTCAAAGGGGACCCTGCAGAGGCAAGACTGGACCCTCACTCACAGAGCAGCAGGACCCCAGCAGTCCTGTCAGACCCCAGCGAGGCTCTGAGCTCCCCCGAGCGGACGGTTTTTCTCAACCACTCACTCCCCCGCAGCCGTCCTATTTCCCACATGGTTTGCCTTAGCAAATGCAATGACCTCTTTCTGAGTCAGGCGACAGCTCCTCACCCTGACCCCCGCAACACTCCTAGTTCAGTGTCACTTGGCCACCATCACTTTGCCTACGAAGGTCTGTCTAGTCAGAGCTATGGTTTTTCCAGTAGTCATGTACAGATATGAGAGCTGGACCATAAAGAAGGCCAAGTGCTGAAGAATTGATGCTTTCAAATTGTGTGTGGTGCTGGAGAAGGCTCTTCAGAGTCCCTTGGACAGCAAGGAGATCAAACCAGTCCATCCTAAAGGAAATCAACCCTGAAGATTCACTGGAAGGACTGATGCTGAAGATGAAGCTCCAATACTTTGGTCACCTGATGAGAGGAGCCGACTCATTGGAAAAGATCCTGATGCTGGGAAAGATTGAGGGCAGGAGAATAAGGGGGTGACAGAGGAAGAGATGGTTGGATGATATCACTGACTCAATGGACGTGAATTTGAGCAAACTCTGGGAGATGGTGAAGGGCAGGAAACCTGGTGTGCTGCATTCCATGGGGTTGCAAAGACTTGGACATGACTGAACAATTGAAAAACAACCAGCCCACCATCAAATCTGGACAAAGGACTTTCACACCAGTGACATGGACTGCTATCTGCCTGACCACTGTGGTGAACCTGGATAGTCTGCTGACCTCACCTGCAAGGCTGGCGCAGTGACCACGGCCAATTTCTAAGGCGGATGCTGTCGGAGGAGGGATCAGGGACAGATCCTAGGTGGGGCTTTTTGGAAGGAATGTGCGCTTCTCTGAAGCCGTATTTTCCAATCTGTTGATGAAATTTCACTCCCCCATACCCCCTGAAGTCACACAGGGTTGGGAACTTCAGGATAGAGAACAATCGTGACGATGCACTAGACTTGTCTGTCTTCCTTGATTTCCAGACACTGTGAATGGCTGTCTTTACATGGAAAGTGAGCTCTAGGGGCACAGGGGGTTCTTGGGCAGTGTTGACTCTTGGTGCTGGACTGTTCTGCTTTCTGTGGGATCTCTAAACACTTCAACGACCTAGATTGCCCCTCTTCCCTGCAATGCACTGTGAGCTCCCAGAAGATAGCGGTTGTGGAACATCTCCATGTGAGTCTTCCTCCAGCTGAGGGGCTCGGCTTCCATGCTGTCGATCCTCTCCACTGTGAGCAAAGGGTCTCCCCACGAAGGGGCTCCATGGCCCCCCTCCCCTGCAGCCCCTAGGCACTGGCAATGCTGGGCGTACAGGCACCCGATTGGTGGGACTGGGCAAACAGATGGCACGGCTGACAATGGAGGGCTTGTTTGTAATTGCTGATGAGGACGGGCGGCCCTTCTCCCGGTGCGTCCCCGCATGCAGCCGGGTGTGCTGTGCTGGACTGGACAGAAAGTCTCAGGGACTGCCAATCCATCGGCGAGTTAAGGAGATGCAGAGACGGCGGCAGTTGGGGGCTGCTGTAATTATTCCATGGGGCTCAAATGTCACTCGCCCTGACACACAGACAGTGCTCCTGGAGGGCGGGGACCCCCTGCGTGGAGCAGAGCAGCAGGCTGTCAGCTTCCTGACGCCTCCCCGGGGGGGGGCGTTCAGCATGAGATACCAACTAACCTGGGCAGTGTTGGAAGCACCAGAAGAGACCACGGTGCTCGAAGCTGTGTGATGCTCAGGGACACGGGAGACGTGAAGTCTAACCATGTCATTCTCTCATCGGCTGGGCACCTGGTGTGTGCCAGGACCTGTTCTAGGCTCCGGGTGACAGATGAAACCCTTTCCTTCGGAGGCTTTTGGCAGAGGAGTTAATGGCGTACTGTTGGGGGGCAAAGATGTCTTATTCTCTATTTGTACAAAGCCCAGATGTCAGCATGGAAAATATACAGGTAGACCATTTATATGTGGTGTTTTGGGGGAGAGGAAAAATTAGAAAATAAAAACGTGGGGCAAGAAGGATAAACAATTGAGAAGCACGGATTGTACGGTTAATATGCATCATAAGTCTGGAGTTTCCTTACAGGTGAATGGTGTTGGCAGTGGTGAGTTGGCCCCACTAACGTCTGAGAGCAGCTGAGCGAGACCCCCCTGGAGAGAACTGGAGGGTATAGCGTGGCCCGAGGGGGCACGGGGGTAACTCGGGACGCCAATGGGCCACATGCAAGCACTCAGCGGCTCAGACACCCCCGAGGCGGCTTTTACAGAAGGACATCCTACTTTTCAGGTCTCGTATGACTCCGACACCTGGATGCTATCCACCAGGACTCCCAGGGACAAGGAGATCACCATCTTGGTTGGTGCTTCATGGAGGCTTTTTAAGAGCTGGTGGGCCTTTCTGTGGCTTGTTTTCTCTGGCTGTGCTCACTGGCAGAGCAGAAGAGCAAAGATTTGCACTGAGTGTCTTATCTCCGAGGCAAGGCTGCTGTCCAGGACTGCCCCCTGGGACACACGCTGGGCAGGGTCGGACAAGAAAAGTGGCTGCTCTCCCTGGGTCCTAGTTACTGAGCAGTCAGCGTGGGAGACGATTAGCTGGTTCAGGATAATTAGGGAAGGGAATGGTTCTGAGAACTGGCATGCTGAGGGACAGAAAGCAGTGGGCTGGCGTTCTGGCTTCGGGTGAGAGCTAAATATCCGTGAGGCAGGAAGGCGGGCTGAACAGGAGATCGGAGGGCTGTCTGGGCTATTCAGACCCCTTGGAATAGCTCTGTGGACGCGAACAGGTGCAGCAGTGGACGGGGTGAGCCTACACTCTCAACACTGGCAACCCCAGACCAGTGGGCACTAGCCAGCCTAATTACCATCTCCAAATGGCCCGAGGAAGGCGTCCAGAATTTCCCATCCGGCCGCAGGGGCTGGGTCCTGGCCCCGGCCCTGGCTCTGGCTCTGGGCTCGGCTTCCTCTTTTCGGTCGTTGGTCTTGCCCATCAGCTTCGGTTCCGAAGCATAAAACTAGGACAGCTGGACCAAAAGACAGGCAGGCAGAGAGAGGGCATGCCCAGCGCGCCCGTCCACCTGCGCGGGGACTCGGCCAGCAGGTAGAATGTTCTCGAAAACACTCGTCCGGCATTTTTCTCTTCCCCTTGCATGACTATAATGTATTCTTACAGATCTATGACTGAATTTAGCTAAACTGAGCATTGAACATTAATGTCTTGTTAGGCCGTGATGGAGAAAGATGCTTCCAGACCCCCTTACTGTCTTATAGGACATGAACACGGAGATCTCAGTCGCCTCCCAGCCACGGAGACTGTTCATTTTACCAGTCTGAATGATTTACGTCTCCAAATAGAAAATCAGTACAGAAATGTTTATAGCAGTCATATTCATAATAGCCGGAAGACGGAAACAGTCCCAAATGTCCACCACCTGATGAATGGAAACAAAGCATGGTCTGCCCTCACAATGGAAAGTTATTTGGCGATAAAAACAAGCGAAATATGGATACAGGTTACAACACAGACGACCCTTGAGGAGATGCGGAGTGCAAGAAGCCAGTCAGCAAAGATCACGTATCATCTGATTCCATTTATACAAAACGTTCAGAACAGGCAGGTCCAGAGAGACAGGAAGAGACTGGTGGTTGCCTAGGGCTGGGAGGTAGGATGAGGATGGACTGCTAGTGGAATTTAGGTATTTATTTTTCAGGAGGGATTTTTTTTTAAGAGTCTCTAAAATTAGATTGTGGTGATGGTTGCACAGCTTTGCAAATATAGGAAATGGCAACCTACTCTAGTATTCTTGCCTGGAAAATTTCATGGACAGAGGAGCCTGGTAGGCTACAGTCCATAGGGATGCAAAGAGTTGGGCACCATTGAGTGGTTGAGCTTTTTAGAAGTTTATTTCCTGGTTATCATTCATATATTCTTCTGGAAAAGGAGAGTATAAAATATTCTTTCTTTTCCCCATCCGCAGACTTCAGTGCTACTAAGAGAGGTCCGATTTGGCCTCTGCTTTGGTTGCTGCTTAACAGAAATTCAGGCAAAACCATCCGGGCTTCTAGGAGCCTACCCTGACAGCTGAAACTGTCCGTGTTCCACCTTCTAGAAACTTCTGGATGTGAGGGCTCCAGTAACGGCTCATAAGGCATGTGAACCGAAGTGTCAGGAACTCTAGAGTCTCCCGAAACAACTTCCCAAGGTTGTTTCAAATAAGCTTCAAGAGTCACTTCCAAAAACTGTCTGGGAGAAAAATTCTTGGTATTTTCAGGCCATCTCTTGGCAACTGCTGTGTGTCCCTGGGGCTGTAATTAAC